CCAAAAAGTCAATTTTCCTGTACAATATGATGTAAATGTTTTGTTAAATATCTAAATTAATTAACATTGTGATTCTTTTAAATACGTTACAAATAAAATAATGACCTTTTGAATACATCAACAAAGTTTATCTAATATGATATAAAAATATATAATTTGGGAGATATATATATATATATATATGTGTTTTTTCTGTATGTTTCACTTACACAGATGCTAAAGGCACAGAAAACAAACTTCTTAGCTCTAACAATCAAAAACATCTTTACATTTATAACCATCAGATTTTGAAAACTCAATGTGGCAAGCTTGTGACTTTAGAAGTTAAATTTTTTTCTTATAGGTTAAAAAAATTGTTACTGAAACCTTAGTATTACACATTCTAACTAAGATCCTGTTCATTGTGTGGAGTTTATATAATCATAATTATGAATTACATACAAATCAACAAAAACCTTATCAATTATTTTATTTCATTGTCTTTGTAAGGTGAACTGTTAGGTGAAACTTCACATAGCTAGTCTTAAGTGATACATTCTTCTTGTGGACAATAGATGCCTCCTATTGTCAGAATTCCTTCCTTTCTGTGTGTTAAAAACTAATGATGTCTCCAGACAAACAGGTGAGAAGAAGAATATTCCTAGTTTGTGTCAACTTCTATTTTTTGTATGGTTACTCTACAGTTGATTATCCCAGAAATATACATATACATATATGTATGTATACATAAATGTAAACAAACACATATATAACAAAGATCCCCTATGTTCCATGATTGAGACCTTTAGGATGAAGTTTCCACCACAATTCTGAGGTGAGTTGATAATAGTTCTAAACGTTTATTCACACAAATGTTAAGCCGTAGTTCAACCACATTCTCAGGCGATTTGTAGCAACTCTCATTATTTTTCCAGCTGAAAGTCACGCTCAAGTTGAAAAGATTTGGTACATGTCCTTAACAAGGTTCTGGTGTGTGTTGTAAGAGCTGCTGAAGTAAACTCTTTGTGTGATCAGTGGGCTTTGGTTCTTCACCCTTGGAAGAATAGAAATTCAAGAAAAACTCAGAATAAGCTTGGAAATAGTTATATCAGATGAAACATAACCAATTTCAACTTCAGTAATGAAACACAGAAGTTCCTTTCATACTAAACATAATAATAAAAATAAAAATTAATCAATGATGAGTACAGGCTTACAAAATGTAAAGCTAACTCCAATGCCAAACACATAATTTAGAAATATAAAGTGAACTTCAATAATCAAATCAATATAACACTAAATTCTGTGCAGAAAAGAAATTGGAACAATGTGAAAACACAGACCTTAGGGTATTTCCATAAGTTGAATATAATTTTAATTAACTGAATATTATATAGTTTAAAACATTTATTTGAAATCATGCAATATAAATATATATATACACACATGCATACACAAAAAATAATTTTAGTCTCACCCTCGGGCTGTGACTGGTAACTCGAGATACAGAACTTCCTAATGGAGATGGAAATAGTCTTGGAGATCCAGGAGAACCATCACCTACTTCAAAAAGGGTAAAATCAGCTTGATGTGCTTTATATATATTGTATACATCAAGTTGCTTAAATCATAGGATGTCTCTAGCTGAAAAACTTAACAGCTTTAGGTATAGCATATCTTCTGTTTTATATGTCAGAAAGCCTGTGGTATAGGATATCTCTAGCTTTATAAGGCATTAAATTTGGGAAAATAAACTCCTTTTTTGTTTAAAGAACAAGTCAAACCGAAGTATACAAGACAAGAACAGTTAGTTCATAGAACAGCTCTTGCTGCAAGAGACATATTATGTTGAAGAATGGGATACTTCATGTTGTAAAAAACAAGATAAGTTGGTACATAGAATATTTAACACTGTAAGTGTTAACACCTCATATATAAAACATCTCAGTTAACTCAGATCTACAGTATTTCTTTGCTGTAACAGATAAGTTAGACTGGAGAATGAGCTTTATAATTTTCCTATACTGAAAATATATTTCCGATAGGTACATACCTTCACTCACAAGATTAGCTATTCTTGTTCAGTGCTGCACTCTATACGCAAACTTTTTCTTTACACATGCCACAAAGCCTTGCACTCTCTTGTTGAAATTACTATATTCCAACATGTCTCTCATGAAATCATCATGCATTATCTTTTAACCAATAGTAGCATGACAGGCTCATGTGATGCATGTGAATCCATCTACCGAACTCACTCGGTAAGTCAACTACATCCAAAACCTCCTCACGAGGTACAGACATCCACATGAGGGTAGGATGAGAATCATACCATCTTCACCTCAAACCCAAGAATCGGGTATTAAGATCCGCACCAATTTCTGGGAATGCCATGAGGATCACCACTGATCTATCACATCGAATCAACTCCCACAACCGTGGCACAGGCTGGTACCATACAATAGTAATAACATCCCCATAAGAATAGAATGAGGAATAGTCAAGGACAGTACCGGAACAATCCCACGTACCACTGCTGTGACCAAGGATACAGACAGAGCAATTGAGGGAGGAAGATAGACAACCCGAACTTGTGTGAGAACTTATGTTGATCAGTTCACTCTAATCCAAAACCTCTATGCTGGGAACCAACTTCCATGCGAAGGTAGGATTAGGTCTCCCAATTAAAGGAGTGAACTGCAATTGCAACGGCTCAACTCCAGTGTTTATGAAAGTGTATCAGGAGGCCATGTCATCCCGTAAGGTGATGGCTCAACTCTTGTGTCTGTGTAAAAGGAATTGGGAAGATACATCATCCCATAAGGTGGTGACTCAACCTCGCATGGTTATGTAAATAGTATCAGGAGACCACATCAACCAAGAAGGCAACAGCTCAACTCCAGTAAGTGTGTAATAGGTATCAGAAGACCACATCAACCAGAAGGTACAGCTGAACTCCAGTAAGTGTGTAATAGGTATCAGAAGACCACATCAACCAGAAGGTACAGCTGAACTCCAGGGGATGTGTAAATGGTATCAGGAGGCCACATCAGCCAGTAAGGAGATGGCTCAACTCCATTTGTTGTGTAAATGTGATCAGGAGGCCATGTCAACCAGGAGGGTAACAGCTTAACTCCTCTGGAGGCCACGTCGCATCTACACCAACAGAACACCACCACCCTACTCTCAACTGAATGGTTATAATCTTTTCCATGTGGAATGCATTCAGGAGGGTGCCTCTATGGTCAACCACCCTAGTGGCTTGGAACTGGAAAAATGGTAAGGACTCCCATACTCCACTTGAGGAAAGGAGGCTCACAATGTGACAGAGATTCCAGAGGAAGGTCATCACTGGAGACAGTGCAATGGGTGACCACAAAAACCTTATTTTGAAAAGCAGACCACACCTGGTTATTCCCTTGAGGTGTGGCAGGGCCATGCAGTAATCCCCTTCTGCTTTATCTGTGCAGACCATGGGTGGTATGGTCCGGAATGGGCATGTTTATGAATCAAATTAACGTGAGGTAATTAACCTTCAAGTAATCTTGTGGAACATCCCATCTCAACAGCAAGTGTGTGGAGCCGTGGACAAGAGAGTGCAAATCAACATGGCTAACAGTGCGGATTTAGAGTTAAAGAATACCTGATGAGGCACCACTTGCGACAGAGTTGGGATCCATATGATAAAAAGGGAGAGAGGCCCATTAAAAAAAGAAAATTTACCAGTTAAAGTCGCACTGAAGTCTGGAGAATGGCCACTGGTGGTAGATGAAACCCCAAAGCAAAGAAAAGTGCAATATGATGAAGATAGTGGGAGATGAACATACTGGGAGTGGTCCACATGCCTAATTGTAGAACCTCCTCCATTGGGCGTTGAAGACAAGAAGCAAGGGAAAAGACGAGATGTTGGATCTGATGTGAGGAAACATGGAACAAGGTATGGTAGGAAGAAAGAAGGGAAGAGTAGGCCAAATGAACTAAAAGGTGGACCCAATTCGTAAGGGTAGAATGTGAAAAATCACAAAGTGAGGAGGATTGCCATGGGATCAAAAGTCGGTTGCGTATACCCCAAAGAGTAGCAGTACGAGCTATATAACAACAAAGGGTCCTGACCGGACACAAAAGTCTATCTGGATCCAGTCTAGGGTAAAGATGGGATTAGAAGGAAGGGAAATAGGAGAAAAGGAAAAACAAACCTCCTGAGCTGCTGAGGTCTTAGGCAGAAAGGAAGGATCGGGATAAAGGAGAAGATAGGTAGGGTGATAAAGGATACTCAAAATGTCAATGGCAAACAAATCAGACCATTAACATCCACAGACCAAGAGAAGAAGGAAATATGTTTTAAGGGACATATGAAAGAAGGAGCACAAGGAAAGTGGTTCAAATGTTGGTAAAGTGAGGGCATGGAGGACCACATTAATGTTCCAATCAGAAAGGGCAGGATGCATTGGAACATATGAACATGATAAGAACAAGGAAGTGAAAATCCTACGATATCGGGAAAAACAGAAAGTATAGGATAGGGCCATCTGATATCAGGAAAGCAAGGAGACCAATGACCTACAGTCAGAGAGCCAGGTAAGAAATTCTGCCACACAAGCCACAGAAGCCTTGTCAACAGAAAATCCCTTGTTAGCAGACTAACAGTGGAAGACTTTACACGTATGCTGGTCATAAGGAACTAGCTAATAAGGAGGCAACTTGATGTGTAAAACTGGATTGTCTTGCCAAGGACTGGACAAAAGCCAGACGTGAAGATTGGGATGTAAAATATGGGATTGAGGTTGACAAAGAAAGGAGGGAGAAAGTGGTAGAGGGACAGGTGGTGATAGGAGCAGATGTTGTAATCTTAGAAACCAAGGTTGCGCTGGCCAATAGGGCACATTCAGGAGGACTCGACAAGGAGTGGACAAGATAAATCACCCGATGAAGCAATCGGATTGGAGGGTACACATAAAGGTATTTGTGTGACCAATCCTGAATGAAGGCATCGACCTCCAAGGCCTGTGAATGTGGCACAGGGGACCAAAAGAGAAGCAACTTGGTATTGAGGCCTGTGGCAAAAGCATCCAATTGGGAAGAACCCCACCAATGGCAAAGGTCCTTGAAAACGAGAGAATCTAATGCCCACTCCGTTGGATAGATCTGTTCTGCATGTGACAGATGATCCATAACTAGAATGAAAGCACCTGGCACATGACATGCGATAAGACAAATGTGATTTGCATGGGCCCAGTATAATAGAACTAACGTCAAAAAACATAGATCGCTGGACCAGGTGCCCTTTTGGTGGTTGATATGTGCCACTACCACAGAGTTGACTGGATGAACCATTACCAGACAATGACGGGTGAGAAGAAGGAAGTGACGTAATGCCCAACATACCACAAGAAGTTTGAGAACACTGATCAGCAAGACAGTTTCATCTGTAGACCAGTGATTGACCCATGTTTCCCATACTTAAAGGGATCTGTCCATATAAAGATGAAAATCTGGATGCAGGGGAGGAAGTGGTACAACTATCAATGTATGGGCTTTGTCCAGCCACCATTTCAAATCATCTCACAGGGAAGGAGGAAGGGAAACCCAAGCAAGGTTCCATCACTTGTGAAGTGCCCACTGCAGGGATCTCATGTAGACATGACCAAGAGGAACCAGTACAGTCATGGAGGACCACATTTCCAAAAGTGATAGAACCTTGCAAGAAGTAAGTGACAGAGCCAAGAGGGCATGTTGAACTAAAAGTTCCATGGAATGAAAACATAAAGGAGAAGGCAAAGCACGGCTGATATTGGTTGAAAAAAAAACACAAATGAACAAGATATTGAGTGGGTCAAAGGAATGGCATCTCCAATCTGATCAACAGCCCACCCGAGCTGCAAAAAAAGGAGTTGGTCAGTAGGAAAGCTAATTCCAGATCAGACTGAGCCAGTCGTCCATGTAAAATGAGATCTCATCCCCAGAGTATGATTATGACGAGCAAGTCTAGACTATGCGATAAAACACATAAGGAGCAAGAAAAGTCCAAAGGGGGAGGGCCCAAATTTGGTAAACTAACCAAAAACTGAAAAGAAGGTCAAGACTGCTGTGCTATCAGGAAATGGAGGTAAGAATTGGAAACATCCATTTTCATTATCCACAACCCTAGGAAAAAAAAAAAATAATAATAATAAAAAAAACAAGAATAAAAAACCCCGGAAGGATGGTGGACTGATTCAATTGCTTGCTGCAAAAGCAAATATCGAACCACCTCTGACAAATGCTGGCAGGTCAGGGGATTGCGAGGAGAAGGAAAGGAAATGGGGCAAGGAGAAACAGGAGGTGGGAAAAGAAACTAGATAACGAATTCTTCTAATAGAACCCATATAACTCGTTGATCATCGATAATGGGATGCCAGCAAGGAAGAAACTCCAACAGTCGAAACCCCACAGGGTAATCATTGGTACTGATTAGCAGGAACAAGTAAAGGTTGGGAGGATGAAACATGGGAAACAAGAATAAATAAGTGGCATATGAGGCTCTGACCAAGACAAACAGGCTACAAAGGTTGCAAGGGTGCTGGCGGGCTGGTGTTACCCAAGGCTCGATAGTTTCTGGGACTATATCGAAGACATAACATCTCACAAAAGGTGCAAGACGCAAGTCCCTAAGATATCTTGAGGGTAAATTGACCCAAGCCAATACTGTGTCCCTACCTATACGGTCCCAACAACAAAGAAACCACATTTGTAATGCCAGGGTCAGGGAAGAAATTTCTGTGGAGAGCCTCTGATAAGAGATGTATGGAAGAAAGATACTGTAGAAGGTTAGTTAGGGTAAGACTAAGGTGAGAATATTAAGCATGGGCAAGACTAAGATTAGATGGAGCTGTCCCCCCAAATAAGTAATAATGAACCCAACAACTGCTGATCCAAAAACAGATAGTCCACACAATGGTAAGAAAGGGTGCACTGATCAGAAATCCTCGAGGGGTGCAGCATGCTGATCCCCTCATTTAATTGTGAGACAAATTGATCTGTATGTACCCAAATATCAGGGAGGGAGGAAATACCAAAAATGGTTGAGAAGATGGTTAATGTAACAAGAACGAGGTGAATAAGAGATAGGGGGAAAGGGATAAAACATCACAAACCTGAAATACAAAATCTGTGAAGACTGAATTAGGCCTAGGTGATTCCTCAGGTTGAAATTGGGAAGGATCGGCAAAAGCAGAGAGATCCACTGTTGGGTTGCCTGCACCTAAGGCCTGAGAAAAAAACCAATGGTCGTTGGTGTGACCCACAAAATGGTAATGAGACCTTTAGAATTCATAACTCAAGAAAATGTTTATAAATTGTCAAGTGCAGAATTATAGTTATAAAAATGAACTGGTAGATAAAAATTTAAACTGAAAAAGGAACCACTTCGTGAAAAAAAAATTGTTTGTCACACTGGAAGCACTAAGCACACAAAATAAGATGTATGAACTCAAACACTGCGAAACAAGAAGTGAAGGTTTGGTAGAGGGAGTCACATGCATCACATGCTATTATTGGTGAAGAGATTATTTCTGTGAGAAACATGTTGGAATACAGTAATTCCAACAAGGGGGAAGTGCAAGGCTTGTGGCATTTGTAAAGAAAAAGTTCGCATATAGAGGGCAGTACTGAATGAGAACAGTTAATCTTGTGAGGGGAAGCAAGTACTGTATTGAAATATCTTTTATTGATAACCCATTGTGACAGTTTCCTGTTGTAAAAATATATTACGATGTTTTATCTTTATAATATTATGTATGATATGATAGTCTCATACATTATAGCATTCATCATGTTATAAATGGTTGAGATACTGCCTCACGCACATGACCTGCATGTGCGTACTATTAAACAATTCTTATCAATATTACTAGTTTTAAAACACACAGTATCAAAATGAATTTACTGTTTCAAGAAAATTGATGTCAGCAATGTTCATTCATTCACAGGTACTCATCAAACAGTTACTTCAAGGTAAAAACACCTTCAGACTATATTTAAATATAAAGGAACAAAAACAGATTTATCATAATTCTACTAAAGATTATGGTACAAGAAGCAAAGACTCATACAATATTCTTCATGGTAAAATTACTGTCAAAACACATTCAATATTTTCACTGCCTTGTACCAAGGTAGGCAATACTTCTACAAGATGTTTGTGGCTCTTTAAAAAAGTCAAATGGCATTAATACATTTTGTAATAAAAGTCTTTTGAACTGCAATACCTGTTCCAATATCGAGGGATAAAACAAGTGCATCCAACTCTACTTGGTTAAATATCTGCTGACTGGGTGTGGATGCTGACACCCCAGAGTTATTTCCTCCACTAAGAGAATACTGGTGAAGTTGTTGACTCTTAAAAAAAAAAAATACATTCATTAATAATAATTGATTGTAGTTTCACTTTAATAGTATCTTAGAAGTAACACGTTTAATTGTGATCATAACAAAATATTCATTCAAACTTAATTAGTGTTGTTTTTTTCTTTGATACAAATGAAAAAATTTGTAAGTGGAACATCCTGATAATTAAATGATAAAAACAAGTTTTACTATCACCAATATAAGGTAATAATATTTTTAATTAAGACATATCACAATTGCAATATTTAAAAAGTAGCCAGTTAGCCAATTTATTTATGCATATTGTTTGAATAGGATAAATATAACAATAATACTCAATAAAGATTTGAGCCATCAGGATATTTTTGCAGTGTCCTACACTAAACAGTAAACTTATCTGATATGACTTCATTTTGTGAACATAATTAAAAAGCCTCATGTTTCAAACATTGCAACTCAGTAAAACTATATTATATTTATTAAAAAAGTGAAAATACTGTAGTTTTAAATAAAGAACAAAACATCAACAAGATACTATTATTAAGGCTTAAGAAATCTCTAGTTACATTACTTCTTTGTATCATTCTGTGTATATATACATTCCCATGTCTAGGTAAACTACTTATTGGTGTACATAATGATGACAAAACCTTCTTCAAACATTGCATATTTGTTACACTTAAACTTGTGATATAGGTTTCTTTGTTACCCATTCAACCTGCCTCTAAACTGTATAAGCTTACTTTAATCTCAACTTATCTGATATCTTCTCAGTGAAGAAAATTTCTGTAGCTTACAAACAGATATAATTTAACAAATACTTTCATAGCTCACACACACAAGGAATGTTTACAGAAACTATATAAAAATTCCTCTTAAATCTATATATTTACTCTCGTATGATGTGATAATTTAGTTCTCATTCTATTCAATCATTTTTAAACTTTCTTTATAGTTGTTTTCAAAGCTATGTTTCATTGATAAGTGATCAAACCATTTGATATGGTGTCATAACAAGGTTTCAACCAAAGCATATACACAAACTAAGGAAAATGCTTGAAAATCAAGAAATGGTCCCAAAGGATGATAGGTTCTTAGCAAAAATAAAGTTATTCTTGATTCTTAAAAAATTAGTTCAAAAGTGGGTTGTTTTGTTTCCAGGAAAACTCTTTGTAGCTGTGCAGAAAAGAAAATTAATTTATTTTTATTTTTCTTCATAAATTAAATAAACATTAGAAAATGACAAAATATTGACTGTTAAAACTGACTTCAAAATTTTTCTCAAAAAATTTTTATCAAGTGGAGAAGAAATATGAAAAGCCAGAGAAAACCCTATTTTCAGACTTCAGACACAATAACTTATAATCTAGTCACTATTTTATCCTAAACTTTGTACAATGTGTCAATTCAACTGCACTGTTTAACATTTAGAAACAATTAAAGATTTATTTAATTATCAGTCACCTGTTACAACAGTACTGTGTAAACTTTTCCAGACTTATTATTCCAGATAATTCAGCACTGATTCACATGTTTATAAGCATATGTATGATAATGTTGGAGCCTTAAGTGTTGTATCTACAGTTACACAGTTACTTAAACCCTTCGTAACCAACCAGTGATATTAGATATTGACAAATGATGTTATTTATTAAACAAACGTTTACTTAGCCAAGGTAAAAAGCCAGTATTTTTGGACATTTTTCAAATAGACTCAATTTAAAGTCAAACAACATGGAAAAATAACTACAAGTTTATTTTTTTTAAATTTCTAATTCAATGATGGAATTTTTCATCTTGGACACCAAAGGGTTTACAAACCTTAAGACTATATAAAAAAATTATATTTTGCATATGAAAGCATTGTAATTTTTACTGATAATATGCCAAATTTTGTTAACATTCGCTTACTAATATAAAAGTTACAGCACAAATTAGTTACGAGGTTGGCCCCAGGAACCGAGCCCATACTGAAAGAGTTAATAAAGTAACATCTGTGCCACATTTTTCTGTATGTACTTAACTCATTCTAAGCAGCACCAAAGAGTAACAACCATATTTTATAACTATTTAGGTTTCTAGTCTACAACCAACTCTAAATAAATAATTTAAAGAAAATTTAAAACATGATAAATAGTTTATTGAAATTAAAAATCTCAGCCCTAACTTATTTTTGCTAGAAGAAATGAGCAGACCAAAATGAGCAAGAAACAGTTATGTAAAATTACATACTTAAGATTTATTTAATTTTTCCTGAATATTCCAAGCAAAAACTTGTCAGGAAGTGAAAAAAAAAAAGTTTAATCAAAGCAATCAGCATTACATCTAAACATTAGACTAGCATTAAGTTTGCTAGTTTTCCCTAATTTCTTTAAAATTCCTAAATGTTTTTTGCTTAACTTCAGTTTTACCAAGATTTCCATTCATGCTACATAGCCAACATCAATTTAAACATTATTTCCATAGCTTTTTATGCAAGAAGCTTCAATATATACCTTCCATTTGTGTTGGATAAAAAATATATTATGAATAACTATTTGTAGATGTCAAATATTACTTATTAATAACCTTTTCCAACTTGTACAAAAACAAACATTTCACAGCCTTAGTATTGTTTGAAAATTCAGATTTTGAAGTTCTTACAGAAAAACAATCATAAGTAAGAATGCATGGTACAAAGAAAAAACTTATTATTACCTGTGCCTGCTGCTGCTGGGTTTTTGCACCTACCATAGCTCTTAATTCTTGTCTAACATATTCTGATGTCATTCCTCCTGTACTGTTTCCTGTTCCTTGCCCTCTACTGGACAATTACAAAAATTCCCAAGCATATAATAATAGCCTTCAAAAAACCAGCTTCTAATATGTATAGGCTTAAAAGATCATACATATTATACTCGTAAATAGTATAGAAAAAAAAAGTTAAAGCAATAAGCAATTATATGACTTAAGTCTAATGGTTAACTTTATAAGTTGAAATTTTGCCTTAACATGGAAATTATTACATTATTGCGGTTTTGGGATTTATAATAAATACAGTAATTCCAATCATCTGATGAGTTGTTTTGAAAGTGTTTAGTCTCACTGCATTAAAAAAAGCACTTTAGTTTAACCATACATCTCCTGATTAATTTAATTTACTTTCTTACAAATCATGTTTACACAGCACTAATAACCAAGTGACACAACTGTGTCTGTTGCTTATAACAGTAACTTTCTTGATTTAGTTTTCATGTTATTAACAAGAAAAAAGGATCATACTTGAAATATTAGCTCAGAAATTCATTAAAAACTTTAAAGACATGGCAGTGTACACATATATAAAACACAAACAAAAGTTTAATACAATATTTATGTTGTTAGAATACACATCCTAACCCTTACAATTACACTTTTTGAGATGGGTCACAGGTGAAAGGCCATGTCATCTTGTTTGTTGACTCAAACTTCAAAATTTTATTAACTACTATTTCATGAATTTATGTCAATAAGTTTGGTATCAAACTGTAGATTATAATTCAAATTTTAGTACTATATATTACTCAATTTCTTAATTAAAAACACAGATAAACATCAATTTTTGTGTGTCACGTGGTATGTTGAATGCAGCACTGATTCAAATTAGATGTTTGTGAAGTCAAAATACTAAGTCCATAGTTTCGTCGAATTACAAACTCAAATTACTGATATTGACAAGCTAGAATATAAAATAAGAGCCTCTTATCTTTTCAGTTTGTTAAGATATTGCTCATGTAATGCACCAAACACAGTGGCACCCTGCCCACCTCTTTCCATTTTTCAAAATATCTCCTTTATATACATATACTTCTATATAAGACATGAATAACCAATCGGAAGCTCAGAATCTCCCCCTAGTGGCTTTATTTTTAACATTTTAACAGGGTTGGCACCAATTCTTTCTTTTGAACCAAATTTCATATTTTTTTTTAGACTAAAATACTTCTTAGTTACTAAGCTTGATAAATTATAGTGGAATTCAATGTTATTGATATAGTAATTTTTGACTTTTTAGTTATTCAAGTATATATATATAAAACCTAAAAAAAAATTTGTTTCATATTCTCCACATGCAAATTTTTTAAAGGCTTAGCAAACTACGTCAAGCAGCAACCAAGTGCAAAGGTCGTAACCAGAAGAAATAATTTTTTGCTTTACTTCCTTAGTTACTGTTCTATGTTTTAAGAAAAATAACTAAGAACGTATTTCAAAATAGCAATAATCTATATACATATATAATGTATAATAATTGAAATGTGACTGTATTTTACAAAATACTAGTCCACTAAAACACAACCAAGACAAGTTACTTTGTACAGACCAAAGGTCAGTTTTATGTTATTTGATACGTAAGCATGAGTGCACGTGAGCTGCGTCATTGTAATTTCTGTATTGTTAGCCAGGCACGGGAGAAAGGTCAATAAAAATAATAACTATATGTAAATTTAGCTATTTAGTGTGAACATTTATGTTTTCATGTTATAATTTGTGTTCATTCTAAAATGAAAGAGGCATAATTTATATTTATTTCTTAATTTTTTATGATTGTTGCAAGATTGGTCAAATCTACCAAACCTGTACAGAGATTAATTACTGAAAATAACAGATAAAATATAAAGTTTTTTTCTTAAGAAATGTTTGATAACTATCTGGACATTATATAGATTTTGCATGTGAAATTTAAAAATTTTCTGATGTATAAAAGTATTTTTAATCTTAAAATGAATATTACTTTGCATGATAGATAGGCAACATGTGAAAAGAAAAAAAAAGACATGAGAAAAACCTTGCTTTATAAACCTTAAGACTTAATATAAAATTTGATATTTTGCATATGAATAATCTGCCAAATTTTGTTAACATTTGCTTACTAATTTAAAAGTTATAAATGAAAACTCTAACAAGCACAAAATGGTTATGAGGTCAGTCTTAGCCCGTGCTGAAAGAGTTAAAAGTGGTATTCTTACGTTGCCCTGATTTCCCTCACAGTAGCCTGCAGGAACCAAAAACACAGGTGGATTTGTCAGATACTAAAACACAGATCATGACAGTATTCTCTCTACCATTCACTCACCATTTACATAGAAGAGACTGGACATTGCAAATAATCCTAATCTTCATTGAAAACAACACAGTCAAAGTTAAGGTTAAACACCTAATCAAGTCTTTGTATGTCAGCTGAGTAGAGATGGAGAGAAAGCTTTGTGGACACTGTCTAATCAGTGTACCTCTAGTTCTATTAAGCTACAGTATGAATCTGTGCTGACATAATTTATAACACTGCAACTTAAATGCATCAGAAATGTACACCACACAAATAATCTCAGTAATATCTTTAAATCTTAAAACTAAATCACTATAACTCTGGCAAGAAATATGTCAAAATCTTTGTCTAAAAGTAAAGGAAAGCATGGCTATATATGCTAGCTACATGTTGACATGAGGACTATTTCATATCAACACGGGGTGAAAAACACCTCAGTCAATTCTATGATTTGCTGCTAGAACAGACCACTGCCTCTATTCATACTATTCTTCATACTACAATTATCTCTATTTAGGGACATCCCTAGGAATAACCAATATGAGAGAAACTTTGTAGTTCCTTTCATTGATATTCTGTACTAAAAATGTAAAGAACTGTCTAGCAGCTGAGGGAATAGAAAACACAATATGGCTGTATATCATAAAAAAATAAAGAGCATTTTATATTGAGCATCTAAAAATTTTATTTTGTAATTTCAGGTCACTAAATGCTGTACTAACAACAGTTTTACCAGTAACTATATGCTATGGTAACAATTTTACCAGTAACTATATGTTATGGTAACAATTTTACCAGTAACTATATGTTATGGTAACAATTTTACCAGTAACTATATGTTATGGTAACAATTTTACCAGTAACTATATACTATGGTAACAAGTTTTATTAGCTCACTAGATGTATAGTAACGATAGTTTTATTAGCTCACTAGACGTATAGTAATGATAGTTTTACCAGCTCAGTAGATGCTATAGTAACAATAGTTTTTACCATCTAAACCCAGATGATACAGTAACGATAGTTTTACTAAGACTGATCTTGGTTTACACTAAACATCTTGTGTTTCCACCAGCTTTCTTTAGTGTGGAGCATCTTTTCATTGACTACACTTCCCAAGATGCTGGAGTCAAATATTATTTAGTTCACTACTGTAGTGTAGAGTTTTGTGAATGACATTCACTTAAGTTGATGTTACAGTTTAATATCATAAAGATTATTCTTTGTCATTATTAGCTCACATTTTTTCATTTTAGTCTAGCTATGCAACACCTACTGTAACTGGCTGGTTTGAAGTGGAACTAGAAAATGGAAAGCTTCTACATTCTAAGAAGGTATAGTGTATAGAAATTTAATGTATCAGGTACTGTTGTTACATTATAGAAAGGTATGGTACCATAGTATTTAATGTAACAGGAACTATTGTAACAGGAAAAAAAGGCATGATATTTATAATACTTAATGCAACAGTTTCTCTTGGGCAAAAAGTATTCTCTGTAGGAGATGGGTGTGGTCTCCCTAGTGGATTGACACACTCCATACACGACTTTCCCTCTCTGTCACTATATTCTTAGGAAGAAGCTTATTTCTTTAATTTTCTTTATATATACTATATATATATATATATTCTCAAAGTGTGATTCTAGCTCTCATTTCTGTGGAAAGGTGAGTAACATTTCTGAAGTTAATATTTTCCTTACCTGAAAATGTATTTCAGATGATTACTCACAATTCCTCAGAACCACTTACCCTTCCTCCCACTTCCAGCATGTCTCTTTTGCCTTGTGAAGGAGCCTTTGGTATATACACAATGTGCTCAAAGGGTTTACTGCACATGAAGGATGGGTCACACCCCTATTGGTGGAGAGCTATAGTCTAATGCTGACTACACCGTAGGCTAGTGCAGTGCACATTATTGTATGGAGGAATCGGGGTTTCTTTAAAGCTTAGTGTATACACAATATTTTCTGCAGAGGCACAAGGTAACAGCTCTGAGTTCTGTGGAGAGGTGAGTATCTATCTGTAATGCGTTCTCAGATAAGGAAATCTTTAATGTAACAAGTACTGTTGTTACATTATAAAAAGTTATGGTACTGTAGTGTTAATGTACCTTACACTTATTATGTGCACTCTGTAATGATTTAGCTTAGCATATTCAAAGATAACTGGGTGGTTAACATGTTAGACTGGTGTGACCTGAGAGTTCATGGTTTATATCCTGTTTCTGGGTGTGCCATGAGTGGTCAGATCCCACTATTTTGGACACACAAGTGATGTCAACTACCTGCTTTCCTTCTATTCTTTTAACTCAAAAATAGGAACAGTCTGCAAACCTTTGCTTGAAAATTCTGAAACAAAGAAACAATTGTGTATTATATCAGGTGAACTGAAATTTTCTGCAGACTGCTGGAGTTACTGACAGATTTGTTTCTATTGCTGAGTTTTAAATGTTTTCTTTCTGATCTGTACATAACCATCTAATTCTGCTCACTGACTTTAATGTGTGTTATATGAAAAAAAGAACTGTACCACTTTCTTGGTATTTTGTTTTTCTTCATGATTATAGAATGGAGATGGATATGTGGATTCCAGACAAAAGCTAGAAAAAATTATACGGGGAATAAGTGAAGCACTGGGTGAATAAGTCTACATTAGTGAAAATTTAACCTAAATCAGAAGGTTAGTAAGAACTTGTATCAGTTTTACCATAGTTATGTATGGTTCTATTTGTATTTTACAACCTGTATGTGGTGTGATGAGTAAGGTATCCTTACAGATAGAGACACTGTTCTACAATATGTATGTGGTGTGATGAGGTAGGTATCCTTGCAGATAGAGACAGTGTTCTACAATATGTATGTGGTGTGATGAGGTAGGTATCCTTATGTACTTCCAGTGTTATTTAGAGCTGGTATTTCTTACTGGTTATTGTGAATCTGATGTTAAATAATTTGCATCACATTGCTGCAAAATCATACTATGGACTTTGAGAATGTGTGTTATTAGTGATGATCAAATCACATTATTTTGTGATAATAGATCAAGAGTTGATGGGTGGTGCTGTGTTTTGAAAACTGGCTTCCCTTTAGTTCATCAGTTCAAAAATTCAAATGCTACGGCAAATATTCCTTAACTCCTTTGCTATGGCCAATCAAAAGCTCAGAATTTCCCCCACATGGTTTTCTCAGCCAATCTCGGAAAAAACGAGAGAAGTGAAAATGTTGTTTGAAAAACAGTATTTTTTTAAGACCCAGGTATAGTCTAGTTAGTAAGCCTGAATAAAATACAGTGGAATTTTATGATATTGTAGAGTAGTAACTTACAATATTTTATTTCAAAATGCATATATAAAACCAAGTTACTTTGTTTTTCATCCTCCATGTGCAAAATATGGCAAGGCTTAGCATGCGAGGTAGGCAAGTGAGTACAAACTTCTTTATGATAATAAGTAGTAGAGATCATTAGTTTCTGTATTTCTTAACTGTTCTGAAATTTATGAACTTATTTCTAAATAATAATAATGTATATACATATGTAATTTATTATAACTGAAATGTGATTGTATTTTACAAAATACTGGTCCACTAGAACAAAGCCAAGACAGGTCACTTTGTAAAGACCAGTTTTATACTATTGGATATGGTAACATGAGTGCACATACACTGCATCATTGCATGTTCTGTAAAGTTAGACACAGCTGATAGGTCAGTAAAATAAAATTTATAAATGTAAATAAATAATTATATATATATATATAATTAAACAAAATTACATCATAAGGAAGAATAGTGTGAATTGAACTCAGCATATCCAAACCATAGATGAAAAATAATTGTAATGTTACATAGAAAAAGAAATAAAAAAAAGAAAATAGAAACAATACAGCTACAATTTTTAAAACTGATTCAGTTGTTATAAAATATAATTTATTACTGAACCAAATTAGTTGCTGTAATATTTCTATCCACTTACTTGCTAAACAAATGCCTTTGGGGAGGGGGGAAAAGTTATTAATAGGTATGGTAGAATTTCAATAAATAAATATTTCTTAAATACTTAATAGGAAATGATGTAAAAGAAATGTACATGTTTCTAATATACAGGAGGTGTTTCAGTCAACAAGCAAAGAGAAGTTGGTAGTTTAAAATATTTCAACTACACTGTTTCAACTATATGGTGATACAGTCAACAAACATGGGAGATCAAAGAATTACAAAATAAAAATGAAGTTCTAATCATAAGAATGGGTTCAAACTTATTGTATGGAATTCTGAAATTTCATTTCACAGGCCTTGAAAGTCATGGGATTTTGTAAAAAGTCTTCAAATTTGAAAAAAGGGAAAATACATTGTCAAAATTGTTTGTAATGGACATTAAAAATTTATGTTAAACATATATTTCCAACTTTCTTAGGTTCTATTTCAAAAAAGTAAGTTTATAAACTTAGTGTCATTTTTCTTTCAAAAACAAGTTGCATATTACAGTAACATGGCTTGGTTGACCATCACATACCACTTGTGTGTTTGGTATAAACAGCCTAAAAATCCAAGTTTTATTACAAACAGCGAAGAGCTAGCTGAGTATCTGATATTGAGAAGCATGAGAATATAATGACTTGGTAGTTAGGACACTTATTTCTCAGGTCTGGAGATTGAAAAAATCTGTTGCTGAATGTTCTCATCATTTTAACTCTCTCAATACGGGCTCGGTCAATTTGACCAACCATGTGACCTCTTTGTACTCATTCAAAGTCTTGTAAAATAGTGTGTATATCTTCACAAAATTTGGCAGTCTTCTGGTGAACATTATAAGTCTTTCACATACAAAAAAACATTTTTTTAGTGAAGTATTTTTAATAGATTAAAAAAAAGACTTGTCCAAGAATATATCAAGTATTTGTTTTGAATAGTCCATGTGAAAAGTGATTTTCATGTTAAGATTAAAAATACTTTTCTTCATCTCAAAAATCTAAAATTTCATTTATCTAATCTATAAAACCTCCTAAATACAATTCAAGTGTTTGTTTTCGTTTAAACATTATATTGTATCTGTTATTTTCTCTACCCTAACTCTATACAAGGTTGGTCAATTTCCAGGCCTTGAATTTGACTGACCTTGTAAACCACAAAAAAAATCTAAATTACCCTCTTTTTCTTTCTGGAATGACTTCAAGTTTAACATGAAACTACATTCATTTATCCTGAGTATCTTTAAACTCATAACTATACATCTATTTATAATTACATTTTATTATTTTATTGCCTTTTGAACTGTGTCTAACTGCTATTTGCACCATTATAAGTTGTAAATCACTTGGCAAATGTGCAGCTCATGTTTTACTGGACACTATTTGATTAATGCTTTGTTAAGAAAGATTCTGATGAAGTGTGTTTATGCTGTGTTATTATTAACTTCTGTTGTTTTTTTTCATAATACATTCATTTAATACTTAAGAAGGAAACCTAACAGATTTGAGTGAATACTTGTAACTTGTACAGTAACTCAAGTTGTTCCTGAGATCCTGGAAAATATAAATTCCATTCTGAAAAGTCCCAATATTTTGTTCAAGAGTCAAGTATCTAAACTGTTTATGTATTAAAAACCATACCTTGACATTTGGCATGTAATTATACTATTTTCTTAAAAATAAGAAATAAGTTATATGAAAGCTCATGGATTGAGTTACTTGATTTGCTATTTTTATTCTATTAGTAATATTGATGCATTTTTTATATTAAGGCTGATACATTTGTGATGACACCTGGATTTCAAAACAGCGTATGAGGGGTCTCCTTAAAGTTGCCGGGACGATGCCAGAAGTTTCCTGCTTTGTTATCCAAGATTTTGTCACAATTTCTCTCAAACTAGTTGTGCTTGAATTTTTTACTGCTTTATCTAACTGTAGCAAATGTAATAAAATTAGTTGTTTTATTTTTACAAATTAAAACTAAAACGAAATAATATACAAATACATAGCACAAGATTTGATGGAAAACCAAGAATAGGAAAAGATTTAAAGTTCCTGTTAGTGTAAGCCACAGTTTATGTGCTGATTCTGTCATCACTCAGTTCTCCACAGTTTGGTTTGTATTATGGGTGTATACGTGTGTTCTTGAAAAATTGTATTTTATGCATGACACAATAAAATGAATCTGAGAAAACACATTTAGCTGTGCAATATATCAGTCACTAGTGAATATTTCTAAAATCATGCAATTTGACACTTGGTCTAGATTCTTTCATAACAAGATCATCCATGTGCTACTTCATTTTAAGATCATTACTACCACTACATTGTGCTTTAATCAAAAACCTTTCCACGTGGTATTTATTAAGTCTTAAGATTTTCCACATGCAATGATAGTAATAAAGAACTGAGTGTTGACAATGTTCACAAATAACTAGGTTATGAACAATAGTAATAGAACAGTAGGTGTACACAGTATGAAACAATAACTACAAGAAGACAATAGTAATATAGAATTAGGTGTACACAATGACAAGAATATGAGTGGACAATAGTAATGAACTAGGTGTTCACCATATGAAACTTGAATTACAACTGGTCAATAGAGAATCAATAGTAATAACGAAATGGGTGTGCACTCCTGGATACAAAACATCATGTACATTACCTATTAAAAACACAAATATAAAAAATAAAAAACTTTTCACATCTTGTATCACATGCCTGGGATAAATATAATATTATCTTTTATAAAATACTGATTAATATCATTAGTTGCAACTATAAATTAGTATTTATAGGTGACATTATTAGTGATACTTTTATGCTAGCCTATCTTGCCACTTCTCATTTTAATGTTTCCGAGAAGTTTCCGTTTTTTTTGTGACTATATATATATATCCTGCTGGAATTATTTTCATGATTTCCTAATAATTATCACCATACCTTTTAAAATTTCAATTTTCTTCATTTATTTTTTCCTTCAGCATCACGGATACTGACATAAAGAATTGTTGAGTAAATAGCCTCAAATCTCTCCCTGTTGGCAGCCTCTGCCCGGATTTAAGGAGTTAATAAGCAATCTTGGAATTGGGCAATTTTGGTACTTCATATTTCCCATTAAAGAAATTTTTAATTCTACATATAAGTTTTAATATAAACATTAACTGAACTTTTGGGTACATCCTATGTAATGCCAAACCTGTTCTGAATAAGTTAAACCTATTTGTTTTGAATTATTTATTACAAAATATATGCAGAGGACACTTTTATTATTTCTAAACACAACATACAAAGATGTTTGGATTATTTGAATAGCAAACAAAAAACATGATTTACAGTTGAAAATCAAGAAAAATATAAATACCATTTCTAGACATACTGGTTGAAAATAAAAAAATAATATTTTAAAAACAAACTTTTGCAGGTTTCTACTTTAACTATGAAAGCTTTATTCTTGAATTAGATTAATTTAATTAAGATTTTAATACCCAAGATAAATAGTACCTTTATTAGTTTAGCAAATGAATTTAATAACATTAAAAAGTTCTTCATAAATAACGAGTTTCCTGTAAAATTATAGATACATACTTATTAAAAAATACTTGAATAAGCAATATGAGTCTCCAGGGATAAAGATTACAGTAAATAGACAGAAAATGTTTTTTTTTTTACCTTTTATAGGAACACAATCTTTTGAAATTAAAAAAGAACTTCATTATATAATTAGAAGGCAATAGACACTTAAAGTGTATATTGAAATTGATGTATAGAATTTAAACTTTCTTTGACATGAAACATTAAATACCAAGATTGTTTATCAATATAAATGTTCAAGATGTAATTCTAAGTATACAGATTGTACAATGAGAACATTAGAATCCAGAATTAAAGAACATACTGATTTAAGATTGTCAAAGCAGTAAAATATTAAACTACACACATTTCATAGATGTGATGAACATAATATTAAAATTTTAAATATTAACCTTAAATTCCACACACAAAACAAATTATTGCAAGTCAACGTTCGATTTTCGTTATGTCTGAATATTGATAGACCAGTTGCACAATCTAACAATATTACTTGCTTAAAAATGGGCTTACAACTACAACTTTAAAAATGGAGTATTATTAATCATGTTTTAGTCCTTTCCACCTCTGAGGTATATTTTATGGTTTAATTTTTCATAGTCCATTACTTTCATATTTCCACCTTACATAATCAGGTTAAAGGTACTTTCTATATAAATCCAGATGAAGAGTGTGTTTCATCTTTTCACAGCACAAATATTTATTTGGATATCTCACCACTTCACCTTAAGCTTCAAAATTCTTCATCAGAGGTCTCTGCTAATAACATTATTCGATCAGCAGGCCTAAGTGACTTGATGGGACCCTGAGAGGAAAATAAAAAAACATTATGTAGACATTTGTAATAACTAAAGAATTTTCATCAATAATGCCTATTGCAGTATACCATAATGCCAAAATATAACTTTCACCTGAACTGCATTGCATGGTTTTTAAAATAATTTGTATTATGATCACAGCATTTATCAACAAAAAGAGAAATTATTATTGTTGTTAAGAATAAGAAACATGAAATGTATAAGAGTATTTTTTTCTTGAATTGGTTTTTGTTTGTTATAGTGAAAAGGCTACACAGTGGGCTGAGTCTGGAACAGAAATTAAATCCCAATTTTAGAGTTACAAGTCCTAAGGCTTACTGCTGAGCCACCAGGGGGACTAAGTTGAGTCTAAGCTGAGAATAAGAATTTTTCTTTATGGAAGGTGTCCAATCAGTGTTTTGAAATGTTCACAATTTTGTAGCACACATTTTTGTACACTACTGTTTGAACAAATGTTGAACTTTGGTGTTTGTTTGTGTGCACTCTCAGCTTTCTTGTGATACTTTTGGTATAAATGAAGATCATTCTTCTGTTTTTTGATCACTGATTAAAATTAGCGGAGTTGTATTAAGCACACTAAAACTCACATCCTGCTGTATGTCTGCAGCACAAAATACATTCTTTCACTTCAAAATAGTTCTTCAATCAGGTTGGGATTTGATTACAATAAGTTTTATTCAAGATGTCAGAAAAACACGTAACAAGAAGTGGTAATATAAAATGAAAAAGATCCTAAAATCCAAGTACTTTTAAAGGGTCCACTTTTCGAAAATTTTTGGGTTAATATGTTTTATTTCTACTTGGAATTTATCACTAGTACCACAACAGTGCTGAATGTGTGAAGAAAGGAATATCAATCACCTCTGGTGTACAAAAACAATCTTTATCAGAATGTGGTTAAAGTGAATGCCAGCAAAAACTCACAATGAATGGAGACTCAAAATAAAGGGACAATATTTACTATGCAGTTTAAACTCCATTTAAGTAGCAGCTTTTCATATACTGCACTGCATTTGAAAATTTAAGTACCAGGATGTTTAGAAATGTTCTAATTAAAGTGCACGTATTTTTGTAAAAAGTTCTTAAAGATCAGTCTAACACAAATGCTTGATTAAATATCCACTTGCATTAACATTTTATTTTTTTTGGGGGGGGGGGTCCATCTAGCATAGATTTTACTAACCACACTTCTCTACAACAGAAACCCATTCTATCTGGTGATCAAGAAGGGATTTCTTAGAGATATGCAAACTTTTACTTAAAGAAGGAGGTCCTAGTAATTATTAACCAGGTATGGTAGAGTACTGTACCCAATTTAATAAAAAATTGATCTATCAGCTGGTTTATTACAGAGGCCTGGATAATTTGTTAGAAAAATTGTTCTCTCAGCTGGTTTCATTCAGAGGTCGAGTAAATTTTGTTAGAGAAACTGATGTCTCAGTTGGGTTCTTACAGAGATCTCAATAAAGTTTTTAGAAAAACAGCTCTCAGGTTGGTTTTGGGATTTTTGTTTCAAATGGAAAGTTATATATTAACTGGAAAGCTGAGATTGAACCTTCCTAATGAACTGCAAATTGTCACCTGCATGACACATTGATATTAATTCTCAAAACTATTCATGGGACTTGCATGCTTTGTGGAATTATCCTCTAGTACAACAGATCTCTGCTATGGTTCCTGAAACATTTATTTAAGAGCTCTTTATATTCATGCTGCTTAAGTGTGCTAACTCTTAGAAGATAAATGTTATTTCTAGTGCATGGAATTCAGCCCTCTACTATAATGACCTCATCCCAATACTTCACAGTTCATTTGTCTGTCACTCAGTAGTGTAACTACAAAAGATGCCCCTCAGATAGAAAGTAATTAGGCCACCTACATATATTTCCCTGAAATTGTAGTTACGATCCTAGATGACCGATATCATTAACAGAACTGAAAATTAAAATTAAACCAAACTTAAAATTGAATCTAATATTTATTTTCGAATTATAAGTGTGAAATTTTGGGCCAGTTAATTTACGCATTGGTGGAAGTGAAGTACACGCATGGTGGAATTATGATTATTATATTTCCACCATGACAGTATGGACCACTAGCTGAGGCTTAGTTTGCTCTGTCCTTTCTCTAAATGTTTGTACTCTACCAGAATTGTGCTATCATCCTTTTGTTCAAACAAATTAAATTATTGGCAATTCTGAAGTTTGTCAGGCCCTTTGCCTTTGAGCCTCCACCCCACTGCAATTACTGTGGGGATACAATTACACAATTGCTGCCAACTTACTTGTAGTACCAGTGGCAAACACTAATAACTGTGTTAATGGGTTTTTTAACACAGCATTAAATTTGTTTTCTAGTTCCCAATACTGATATAATAATATATATAGTATTCCAGTATTTCTGAAACTTTTTAGGTCTCATCCCCTTTTCTTCTTTTTAACACTTGCCACACGATCCAGCCCATCTTGATGTGAACCACAAAAAAAGGCTGTTCCGGAAAGGTGTGGGGTGTTTTGATTAGACAAAAAGACTGTTTGGTACTATTTTTGAGGTCTAGGTCATTGGACCAGTTTCTGTAAAGTAAAACGATGTATCAATGAAACACGCTTGAAATGTTCTAGATGTGGTTGTGAATGTGATGGTTTAAATGTAATGATTAAGCTAAACTGTATGTCCAGGTCAGGTGAAGGAAGAACTTATTCGATGATATCCCAATCGATTTGATATAACAGCTGAATTGAAAATTTGTAAATTGATTACTGCATTGACATCAAAACATAAAAAAACGGGCAAAACAGTATCGCTAACTTCAAAAAGAGGAATTGGAGTCATATATAAGAAATCATTAGTTTAAATATTTTGTGAAACTAATGGCACAGTAAAGCTCAAAGATACAGTGTTGAAGTTGAAGCAGATGCATTACAAGAAGGATGGTATAATGCCTGGTATGGTACCACAATAGTATAATCCATATAGATTTTATCGTGTCATATTTTCATTGATATTTAGTTGTTTTTTTCATTTCAGAAGTTGTGTTGAACTTCATTCATCAAGATCTTCAGAAATAATTCTAATTCACTGGTTTCCAGAATGACCCCTCTACTGACCATCCGAGGCTCAATATTAAAAGATGCTGGACTAGCTCTTGTGGAAGGTGTTAATACACTTTGTTCCCCCCCCTCAAAGAAAAAATCAGCTTATTCAAACCGCTACACATGTATATATTGTTACGTCTCCGTTTGTTAATTAACTTTCCGTAACTTCGTTCCGACGAAACTTTAGCGACACAAGTCC